GTGCGTAAATGCACTTTTAAATTGCTTAGCTGTCCGAATGTCTTGCAGCAAACATTGCATTCATAGTGCATTTTGCCATCCTTCTTCTTAAGTGGATACGGCAGTGAACGATAGCCACGTGAACCCAATGAGTTGGGACTTAATGGACTTCCACTACGTGGACATGAATTACCATCCGGACTGAGACTGCTCGGTGGTGATATGCGTAGCGGTGATAAACGCTGCAGTGGTGCCAGCGGTTGCATCAATGGATGATTAAGCATTTGTGTGCTGCTCTGCAATAAATGCAAATTAGGCATGGAACCGCTTGATGTGCTGGACTGACGATCAAATGGTGAGTGTGCGCTGTGTGGCGGTGAATGGAACGTAGAGGTGGGTGCATGTAAACCGTGTACTGTGCCACCATTCGTACTGCCGTTGGAGTACGGCGAGTATGTGGAATAGGGTGGTGTTTGTTGTCCATCATTGACGTAAGTGGCATGCGCTGGAGCTGGTGAGAATATGACGTGATGTTGGCTATGCGGAGGTGGTGAACATGTTTCTTTAATGCGTGTCGTTGCGACAATCACCTCGGTTTCATGAGCATCATTGATTTGGTCATGTGCTTGCGGTAGATTCGAACTTGAGTCCGGACTTACTGCATTGACATAGCGTTGTGATTTTTTGTATGAATAAGCCATTTCAGTCGGTGATGTTGGTGGTGGTGTTGCGGAATTTACCTGGCGGCAAGCGGCAGCTGCAACAGCAGCAGCTTCCAAGCGATGCTGACCGGTCAGTATTGTTTCAAGTATGCTTGAGGAAGGGGGTGAAAAGCGTATGTAGGGTGATGCAGTTTGTCCTTGTGTTGGCGGTGGTGAAGTTGATTCAGCTTCGTAGTACGGCTTGTTTAGTGGCATAATGGTACGTGTTGGATGCGCAGCACTGTGCTCTAGCACAATGACAGTACTCGAAGCTTGTTGCGTCAAGCCATGTGTGGTCGATGCTGGCTCATGTTCTTGTGCCATTGGCTCATCATTCATTATGGACGTAGTGCAAGGGATTGTTGTTTCAGTCGCACCTAAAAGATCATCCTCACTTGATGTGGCGTTGGCCGTTTCAGTTGGTGATTCATTTAGGTTAGTGTTGGCGTGGCACGCCTCAGTCTTGATGCTGCATTTGCTATTTTTGAACTCGTATTTAAGCGGCATTTTAACCTTAAATTTGCGATATTCATTTTTGTCGCAGTCGGCGACGGCAGCTGCAGCGGTTACTGCCACGCCACTGTTGTTTGCAACAATGTTAGTTTGTTTCTGTGGGTGAGTTATAACAGTCTCTTTGGGTGCTATTGCCTTCTTAGAACAGTCCAACACGTAATTGTGTTCGCTTTCGCTATCACTGGAATCTTCTGGTGGAGTCAAGTTGTCCTCGTGGTACTCATTACTATGATAGCCTTCATCGGAACGCACTGAACGTACGCTGCCATCGTTTGGCGTTAATTGGTGTTCATACTGCGTGTCCTTCACATCTTTCGAGCCACAATCGCTACTGGCTGGAGAACGATCACGTACAATAACTGAAGTCGACTCTTGCAAGACATTATGCAGGGTTTGATGGTGAGGAATTTGGTGCGGGACTTGATGCGTGTGTAAACGTTGCTGCTGACTATGCAGTATATGCGGATGCATATGTTGCTGCTGTGTTAGTTGTTGGCTACTGGTATTTGCTGATACTGTGTTGGGAATGGGCGGGGAAGGACTGGGTGTGATTGAAGGTCTATTTGAATTACTTGAAGCTGCTGTTGGTACAGGCGGTGGTAAACGTAGACCCATAACATACGTAATATGGTTGTAGGCCACCTCATGTGGAATTTCTGGTGCAGGCATGGCATATGGTGAAGTGGAGGGTTTCTTGTGGCATAACATATCCTCTTCAGTCATGTCTTCATCTTCGTCTTCTTCTGCTGAATGCTTGCAGGCGCCAAATATAGTGCGCTCCGGATCAACATCATAGCCAAGCCGCCTAGCAAAATCCTTGCAGTACCAGACCATCAGCTCTTCGTTGGGTCTAATGTCCCGTGTTGTATAGAAGTAGATATTCTCCTGATGTTGACACGCAACCAAATTCATGACGGATAGACTATATGCGGAGGCTACGTAACGCATCCAGTTAGACTGTGCACGATCCGAACCATCCAAGTAGTAAAAATCATCATCCTTGAAGATCTGTGGGGAGAAAGAGAAGAGAAAGAAAAGAAATGGGATCGGGGTTAGTTAGGAATATCATATTAAGCAGTGGGCCAGTGCGGACAGACAAAGTGCTATCTGCAACTGGTCGTTTGGAAAATTTTGAAAAATTCTACTATTTTTTGTGCTTTTTCCAAACAGAAAAATAAAATCAAAATACACAACAATAAATAGAACAACAAAGAGAATTTAGAAACAGAATAGTTTACACACACAAACACACATAAAAGCAAAACATATTTACAAATTAGTAGTAGGATTAGTAGTAGTAGAAGAGCAGTAGTAGTAGTATTAGTAGTAATAAGGAAAAATTAAAAAATTAAGATAGAGGGAAAGCGCAAAGCGTAATAGTAGCAAAGTAGTTAAAAAGCGTAAAAATAGTACCTTAATGTTCCCGTAGGTAATGTGGCGTGTTCCCTGCACCTGATTGATTGATTGGTTTTGGTTTGATTTGATTTGGTTTTTCGAATTTAGTAGATTTTTGTATTAGATTTTTTTTGGGGTTAAACACATGAAACAAAACGGAAAAACGGTTTGGTTTTTGGTTAGTTAATTAAAAATTTAAATAGATTTTTTTTGTTTAATTTTTGGTATGATTTCGTTAAAATGATGGATGGATAATGGCATGAGTGGTTAGGCTGGCGGATGGCTAGTTGGCTATTTTTAAGTAAGCTTAACAAATTATAAGCAAAAGCGGCTTTTACCGATTTTGTGCCTTATTTATACACATACGTATATATGTATATACATATATATCATTAGATGTAGTACCATATGCGTATAAATAAGTATAGATTTAAGTGATTCATATATATTTTCTAAAAATTAATGGAAAATTATTTAAAATTATTCACAAAATGATATGTCATATAAAAATATAAATACCAATGCTTTATGTCATGATTAATTAAAAATTATTTATTAATTATATGCTTAATTGATTGACTGATTGGCTTGACTTTTCTTATGAGTTAAAATGATATTGAGTTTGAGTGAAATTATTTCAAAACGACTAGGATTGTTATGCTTACCCGCCAGAAGTATCTTGCTTTATTCTTATCGTTGGGATATTGTGGAGTTGGAACACCTTCAAATGGACCAAAACGTGTGCCGCGTGGTATAACACCGATGCTCCAAACTCCTTCAGTCTGTAAAAATAATTAAAGTAAAATTTAATTTTATTCAATGGTTGTGATGCATTAATAATGAATATATATGTGAAATTACTGTTTTTTGACTCATTTTGGGTGGAGTTAGCTCTTCAAGTCTACCCATGGCTAAGTGCTTGAAAACATAATGCATTAATAATGAATATATATATTTAGACATATTTATTTCAGCGATATTTGGTTATATTTCAGGAGTCGTATTGCATTAATTAAAATTTATATATAATATAAATATATATTTATATACTTTTAAAATTAATTAAGGGAGGTGTTCCATAATCTTCTTTATTAATATTATATATCAGTGTTATATACCCGAATATGCAATTTAAGTTTCTAAATCTCCTTATCACCAATCCAACTGACTTCGTGCTAAACATATTTTTAATACTAAACCTCATAAGTAAAACCTCATAAGACTTCGACAACTGTGGGCAGCTCCACATACTACATCATAATTTAATAAAAAACTATAGATAATTATAATCTTACATATCTTACTTAGAAAAAGCAAAAAGTGTTCACACAAATTTTATTAAAATTTTTAACCAATTAAAACGCATAACCCCAGAGAAATCTGATGTCTTAAAGCGGGCACTACTCCTGAGAATGTCTTGAGAATGGAAAGACCCTGGTATTAAAGGAATGGTCATGGAATAGTGCCCTTTTTGCCTTCAACAGAATTGTCCCAGTATCAAAGGAATAGTGATAGAATAGTCTGTCTTAAAGAAGTACTGATTTTATAACAGAATACAGAATAGATCTGGAACCAAAGAAAAAGTCTATCCTAATATAGTGGCTGCTCTTAAAGTATATTCAGATATACATTAATTGAATATAAAAGTGTATATACTGAGAACAGTATGATTCTTTTTAAAGTGTAGTCTTCCATATTTCTATTATAGGGGTACCAAGGGAATAACTATGTATGTCGAATCATTAATCTTTAAAGACAAATAATGAAAATCAATCTTTATCCTTAGAGACACCAGATATACTACATGAATAAGTATTTCCTAAATCCTTACCTTAACATTTGGCGTTGAAAAAACCATTGATGGCTTCAAAGTTAAACTACGTGGCAGCGTTTTATCTGCCCTATTCGGTGTGCCGCGCTCGCACTGCACATCTGGAACTATATAGACGGCCAGCCGTTGAAAATCTTGCTCTCTCATACGTGTCACATCGTAGTCCCGACTACCATCCGGTGAAGGACTACGTGCATTATTTGGCGGGCTCATAGCTCTTGTCACACCTACAGCTGCCGCCGCTGCCGCTGCTGCTGCCGTTGTTGTTGTTTGTATTGTTGTTGTACCTGTTGTTATATTTGTTGTTATTGTATGTGTATTAACTGTGGATAATGTGTTATTGCTGCTGGTGGTATTATGTTGGTTCATTTTGCTGGTGGTATTGGATGATTGTTGCAAATGTAGATTATGTTGCTGATGGATGTTCATTTTGATTTATTAAAATTAAAAATTTCTTTGTATGGCTATTTTTTAATTAAAGCAATTTTAGAAGTTTCAATTGTGGTATGTATCTTTGCCTGTTGAAATCTGCCTCTAGTTTTTAGGGATACAGGAAACTCAGTTGCGCAAGATATAATTGAATTATTGATTCTGTAAAAATAGAAAAGAAATTGTTAATTAGTTTTTGTTTATATGTCAAGCAAATATTGATTTATAATAAAAACAAGCAAAAACTAATTTCACTTTTACACAAATTTTCTTTACTCGATTTTATTTCAAAACAAAGGTCAAGTGTGAAGGTCTTCAGCTGCTATTAAAATGCAATTTTATTTTAAACGACTATACACATATATATATATATGTATATATGTGTATATATGCGATAAAGATATTTAACCTTAAACTTGAAAGCGAAAATAATTGCAAATGTTCTGTTTAAATGTCAAATGAAATAAGCACATAATTGCATTAAACACAAGTTGGTTACATTATTTTGCCCCTTTTTCGAGAACGCCCCCCATCTTCAACTATCTACGTCAATTCTTATGCAAATTATAGATAATTTTTTTTTTTTATTTGAACTGCACTTTGGTTGCTTTTCTATATGTGTTTGTGTTTCATGTGTTGCATTTTCCATATGCACTGTGATGACATTTCAATCGTTGCACTCTTTACTATATTACCACAAAAAAAAAAAATAAAAATAAAAATAAAAATGAATTGAAAAAAATATAGAATTCACTTTTACTTTAGATACTTTTTTTGCAAAAAGTCTGGTAAATTTTGCCGACTCAACGATAACGTGCTGAGTGAAAAATTATCTCTGTGCATTTCTAATATTGAGTGAAATATATCAACTGTGGATATATATCGCTATACACCTCAACACATATATATTTGTATAAATCTTTTGCAAATAGTAGAGGGAGAATATTTTTTTTTATTTTTTTTTATATATATTTAAGAACTTTTTAGTATTTTATAACGCATGAATGAAGCTGAGCGTTTCATTGTCTTAAAGTAACAAAATTCAAGAAATATTCTGTGAAGTATAATGCTTGCTTATTCTCATACATCACTCTGCTACCCCTTTTTCTACCCTTTTTCTACTGAGTATTAGTTAATTTGAAAAATAAATTAAATAAAATATAATAATTTATGCTCAATGCTTAACACTAGGCCGCACATGATTTATATATTAATGTTAGCCACTCTCAATGCTTTGCTTTGCTTGAGCATATTTTGCATCTACCGCAAAATGTTTGTGTGGAAATATTGAGTCACTCGTGCTCGAATGAAAAAAGTTTCAATGGCGTCGCTTTTGTCGCTTTCGTTGCGTTCCTCGTGCATATCGTTGGGTTCTTTCTAAATGTTGTGCTGCTTGACTTATTCGTTAGTCCTCGTCCGTGTCGTTGGTGTTGGAAAATTTTCCCAGTGTATTGTTTTTGCCTATTTTGCAGTTCAAGATTGCGGCCTTAATGGAGGTTACGTTCATGGATGCGGCATTTGCTGTTTGCAAATGAAGCGAGCGGGTTAAGGTGAAGTGTGTGAATGAGACAGCTGCCATTATTGTTTTGAAGACAGTAAGAAAATGCAATATTGATTGTATTTGAAAAATAGTTATGGAACCCGGTTTATGTTGATACACAAACGAAAACTATAAATAAACTACAATTCTCGTGTAGTTTTCACATAAAAATAAAAATTTCATTTACTTAATTAATTAAGGTTTATAGCTTACCAGTTAAGCTTATTATGGTTTTTGTTTATTAAAATGTTTAAAAAATATTTTATTTGAATTTATTTCAATTTATTCCAATTTATTTGAATTTTAAAATCTTCTTGTGAGTTTTTTCTTATAAAATGTAATTTTCATTCACTTTCAATTATTTAGAAATCATTTAATTCACTTTTATGGGAATGTTAATTTGATTTGTTTTTCTTTTTGTAAGTAGAATATTTTTCATTCATTTCACTTTTGCTTTCAATTTTCAGCATTAATTGTTTTTAAGTATCAAACGAATATATTTGAATGTTTGCAGTTCAAAGTATAATTTTTACTAATTTTATATGTGCACGTCATTAAAAGTGTGAAAATATATTTCAATTCCAATTATTGCAATAATTTTTTTAACAAAATATTTGTGCGCAAGGGTCGCCTGCATAATTTTCAGTTAATTTTTTCAATACATTTTTTTCTGTTGTGTTTCTAAATAAATCTAAAAAATTAATATTTTATAAATTTTACTAAAATTTTGATTTAAACTTTTACATTCATGCATATATTTTCATTTTCATTATTGCTTTTCAATATTTTTCTTTTTTTGTGTTGCTTTGCATTTCTATTTTCCTATTTTTTGTACTTAAGACTTTCTATTAAAAAGTTTTTGTTTAAAATAATTTTTTATGCGCTCGCACCCTTTCGGCTGCATTCTAAAGTGCACTGTGCCCACTACTGAACTACCGCACACAGAACTTTTTCCACAATTCCACAGTAAGAAAGCATTTTCGAGCGCTTTTCCCATATATACAATATACAATATAGAATACGTATATATTTCAGAAATATTTTGTCATTATTTGCATTTCATTTAATTTCGTTTTAATTTTATTTTATTTAGATTTTGCGAGTACAAGTTTGTGTGTGCATATGCGGAAATTCTAATAGTTCAGCCCAAATTTTGTATCCCACTACTGACCCATTTACTAAACTCATACGAATGCAACGACTGTAGTCGTGTTGTATGCAAAAATGACTCTTTTGTCATTCGTATGAGTGCACCAACACATAACACTCAAATTGAGTGCTTTTGTTAGGGTTGCAATTTTGTTGGAATTGCAGTGCACATTAGCAAAATGCAGAAACAAAAAGAGTGTGTGAGAGAAAGAGAGTGAGAGAGTATATGTGTAATGAGTAATGGCGTGCAATAAAAGCTCTTAAAAGCTACTTTTCTATTGTTGCATTCTTTTATTGTTGAGCATTTATGGTTGGTATAGACAATCCTCAATTGATTGTGGAAGGACCGAACCATCAGTCTTGGTTGGTCTATTATTTCTGCTTCTGTGTGAACATGTATTTATACTTTTCACTTAGCACAATTAAAGATATATGATGAATTTTTCAATTAATTTAAATATAATTTACTTATATTTCGATTATTCTAACATATGGTATTATCTGAATGGTAATTCAGAAATCATTAGTCTTGAAATTTGAGTCATCTTTTTTTATTATCTGCTTCTTAAATGGTAATATTCAATAGATGTTGACTCTTAAATGTAGTTTTATATTTTGCATATAATTTAATTTTCATACTATACTTTTTATTTTTGACAAATTATAAACATTCTCATACAAATTAGATTTAAATCAAATATCGTATTATTTTGGAGACCCTTAGCAAGGCAGAGGAGCTCACAACCTTTTAAAATAAAATTTATGGAAGCTTATTAGATAAAAGTTATTTAAATATATATAAACAAATTAAGGAAATAAATTGATGAATGGTTATTTAATTAACTTTGATTTTATTTTAATTAAAACTTAATATTTATTTTATTTTTTTCATTTGATTTTAATTTATTAAATTTTATTTTATATTTTATTATTATCACAACTTTATCTTATTTTGTAATAATTCACAATTTTTTATTATTTTTCATTTCAATTTATTTAATTCTATTTCATATTGTTTTATTTTATTTTATTTTATTTAATTTCGTTTTACTTTTTTTTGAAAATATTTTATTATATTTCATATTATATATTTATATATTTATTATATATTATTTTATTTTATTTTGTTTATATTTGATTAAATTTTCTTTTATATGTTTGACTTTTATATTATATTTTATTTTAATATATTTTATTTTGGTTTATTTTATTGTATTCTATATAATTTCGTTTACAATGATTTCATGATATTATTTTATCTTATTTTATATAATTTTATTTTATTTTATTGCATTTTATTTTATTATAATTTATTGTATTATATATCCTACTATAGCTACTTGTATAGATACATTTATTTATGTTTTAATATTTATACATTTATATATATTTATATTGTAAATTATATTTATATTTTATTTATAAGAAACTCTCATACATAACAATACGAATTTATTTTAAAAAAATTTATATTATAGTTACAATAATATATTTGATATAATTATAATATATTTTTTACATAATCATTATATTTATACAAGTATTGTTACTAAAAGTTTTCAAAACTCACCCATTTCATTTCCGAAATATTAAGAAATTAATTATTTCAATAACTTGTATAATAAATAAAAATATTTTTTTTTTAAAAAAGGCAGTGCATTTTGGTTAGAAATTTTTATATACATTTAAATTTGATTACTTAAAAATATTTTCATTATAAAGTCAAATTTTTTAGATTACTTAATAATTTTTATTATTATTTGTTTTTGCTTTTTAAGTTAATTTTTAATTTTCTCATATATCAATCATTAAATAATCATGATTCTTTCAAAAAGCCAGTCAATATATTTTACTCAATGAATGAGCGATGATATAATCTTTTTTGTGCAATACTTAACATATATTATATATAATATTTTTGTTTCGTTTTTAAAATGTTTATATTAAAACCACTTTCGAATTACTATAATTGAAATTTGCGCAAATACGCTTTCCGACCTATATGCATTATTAACCGATCTATACACTTGCAGTCCGGTGAGCTGCACAAAAATGCGAATAGTCGTTTTCAAAAAAGCACAACAAATGCTGGCAACATAAATGAAAGTGAGTAATTCTTGCAAAAAAAGAACACTAGAGGGGATGGTGATACTACACTGAAGACGTATTCATATCATAGAAAACTAGGAAATCTATATTAAAGAGAACTATAACCGAGAAGAGTGTATGTATACGTATTAAGATGTTGCATATATAAATGTTTCTATAATTCGGAAAACAAATTTTTAAAAATTTTTTAGTTTTGTTTTTGTTTTTATTTATTTCTTAATTTTTATTCAAATAGTATAAATTTTTATTTAAGAAACTATTGTTGTGTGACTAGCAACCCTCACAATATTTAACGCGTTCTTACTAAATACACTGCAGTCAACATCTTCAGATACTAACAATACAAGGAAGTAAAAACAAAATATTTTAGTTCTAGAAAAAATAAAAATAAAATAAATTTAAATATACATAGATATGTATTTGAGCGGAGGAGGGAGAGAAAGAGAAAGAGTGAGGAAGAGAGAGTGAGAGGGGGTTGTACTGGTATATGGGTAGTGTAAGTGTAGCATAAATATTACATGCAATAGTAAAATGTTGAGGAACAATAAATTGACCGGCAATAGAGTTGCCAAAAAATATTTAAATAAAATTTCTTAATTAATATAAATAAATATTAATTACGAAGTTAATTACTATTTTTAATAATTCATTATTCTAACAATTAATAATAGCAATTTAAATTAATTATCGTATACTTTTTGTTAAATTGTAATTTTTAACTAAACATAAGTATAAACGTATGTAATTTGTACTTGAATTAGAAAGTAATTAGTAAAGTAACTAACTAAGTAATAGTTAACAAAGTTTATACAGCTGTGGTTTACACTGTAATTCTAAAACTCGCACACCAAGTACACGGTGCAACGGGCTTAATACGCTACATTTGTATTCAAAATAATAAACCAATAGATGTTTCCAAAGGCGACCAATAATGGATATTATGGATATAGGTTTGTTTAGTGATAAAAAAAAGACTTACATAAATTCAAATAGCTGCCGTTTATGGTTCAATTATAAAATTGGTATAGCAAGTCCAATTGTTTGTAAATACCTTACCAAAAACACAAAACTTAAATAACAAGGTTTGTTTGTGTGTTAATGTACGAGTCCACGTTTCAAATTTGGTAGGGTTGAATTTCTTTCATTTGCATATGGGAGTAATTCAGAAATATATGTTTCCAAAAGCTACTTAATATGAATATTTCGCGGTACCTGCAACAGCTAGAAGTTCAGTACACCTTCCTAGAAAATCTCCATATTCTATATGAAGTAGCTCTCTTGTTATAAGATATAATAAATTATGATTATTTTAAGTAATTAAATAATTATTACTTTTATTCTTCCTAACTTGAAGAGTTACTACAACGAAAAAGCATAAAGAACATAAACATTTTTATTAAATGGCAACTCTTTTCATTTTCAAACGCATATATAAAAACAATAATAAAAAAATGCAAAATGTAAAAACAAAAACAAAAAGAAAAACTTTTTAAAATAAAAACAACAAATGCTTAGCGCCAAAAAGCATTTTTGCAGCGTAAAACGTAAAATTATATTTGAAGGACATTTGTCGCAGTCGACGCCACTTATATTTACAATGGCTGCATATATTCTAATAATGTGTGAGCATGAATACTCGCAAGCTGCCAACAAAATTTTACAAGTGCTTACAAATGCTTACAATGGCAATTAGGGGCTATGTAGGGGGCGAAATGCTACGAAATGCTACGTAGGAAATCAAAAATCAGAAATTGAAAACAGATAACAAATAGTAATAGAAAAAAAAAATAGAAATATTTACACACACAAACACACACTTATATGCAACTAAACAACTAGACACAAAAAACGCAGAAGATGTGCTTAATTAGTAGATGTTTTTAAATATTTTTAATAGTTTGTGTGAGTGTGTGTGTCTGCTTTAGCGTATTTCTACACTTATTTATATGTGCAAAATATATTTGTTTTGTTAATTCTCTGCTCACTCTCTCTTTCGCTCACTTAGCTGCACTTTTATTCACAAGCAATTTGACATTCAACTTGAACTGCCACTGACAAGCGAAAAGCGTTGGATGCACTGTGAAGCTTTGCGATGTGACGCGGTGAGATGTGATGAGTAGTAGTTACGTTCAATCTTGCTTAGCACTACAATGCAGTCAGCACATTTTAATATAATTATTTTTTTTTATTTGTACAATTATTTG